TAGACATCAAAGTACTCTTTATGGCAAGGCGGTCATCATATTATCTTTTACAAGAGTATCAACAATCTCTACGGATGGATCTTTCATCCACCCCGCAAACACCTTACTTGTAGCTAGTTTGGCTAAATCATGGGTACCACAATTAGTCTCTCTAGAAGCATGCTCAAAAATAATATGCGGGAAATCACAGGCAAGGTGATATATATCATCAAAAATTACCAGCGATACATTGAAAGAGCGACATCCATTCTACATTCTCTCTATCACCCGGATGTTGTCGGAGTGAACCTCTATGCGGTTACACCTGATTGTATTTTCCAAATTGAGACCAAACCATAAGGTTAGTGCATCGGCCATAAGCTCATCTCTGCACCAATCGATTTCCCTGTTTCCTGCCGCGACGAATCTGCCATTCGAGTCTCTGGTGAAAGCGCCATACGAGCCATTAAGTAAGTGTGGGTCGAAACCCCCATCCTTGTTTAGCTTCACATAGTTGCTCATTGGTCTTTCCCATCCATGTCGCTTGATCGTCGTCTTTGCATCACTTGTCATAGTATGGTTAGCAGCCAAAGCTCTGATTGCCATTGCTATGAACTTGGGTTCCTGGAACTTTTCATTATGCACTTACTTTCTCCTCTCCCACCATAAATACCAGGAACCAATAGCAATTGATTCCGTTGATTTTCCCAAACCGAGGACCACACATTCTTTACCTGGTTGTAGCAACAAATATTCTAGCACATATTCTCTCACACGATCCACATTGCATGCTTTATCAATAACAAAGTCCAAACCCAGTAACTATCATACCTCTTTAGATTTTGCAGAAGTGAATAACAGATGCTCGGTATCCTCGGCTCCTATACCGCATGTAGGACATTGCCTACTGACTTCTATATATATGTTCGTTAGCCAAAGTCACCGGACATGGTAACGATCCTAACAAAGTTCGCCAGAGGAATATTTTAACCTTGGCAGGACAGCTTAAGCTCCAGATCGTCTCCCATATTAGTGAATTCCGTTAGGGTCCGACTGTATTTTCTCCCGATATTTGAAGTCCATATTGGTTGTGCCACTCCACAAAGTATGCCGATCTCATTGAGAATATCCTGTTTTTTGCACAAGTTCCATGCTACAAAGTCTGACATTTCAAATTCAGGTAACAGAATCACAAGGATCCGCACCACATCAACTTCCCAGAATGTTTGAGAAACCAACTCTTCATCCCAACGACCCATAACAGGGTCAATGAAATTACTTACTTTTGATAGTAAATTGCCTCCACGAGACGTGATCACTTTTCTGGTAGATGAGTTAGGGATCCATTCATCATCCCAAACATTGATCTGACTACCATCACCGATCCTCCATATATGACCTATTTTTAGTGTCTGCACCCCTGACATAGTACTTTGCCATGTGAACGAGGATCTCTTTTTCAGAGTTGCATTCAAAATATCACAATCTGGATAATATTTGGCTTTGAAAACACGGGCACAAAGGGAATATGGATTATCAATTAATCTCCAAGCCTGTTTCCCAAGCAGGGCTATGTTGAAACAATGAATATCTCGAAATCCCATTGTACCTTCTTTCTTTGGCGCACACAATTTCTACCATGCAAACCAGTGCATTCTCCTCTAATTGTCACCGTCACCCCACCAAAAATGTGACATCGCGTATGTAATTCTTTACATATTTGTTTTGGAATTTTGAAAACCGACATTGCATAATATGGTATAGCATGTACAATTGATTCGAATATCACTTCCTTTCCTCATGTTGAAAGTTGCCTTTCCTTTCATCCCATAATTCTTTTCATAACTCGATCCACCAAAAACTGGAAACAATCTGTCCTATCTAAAACCGATAGTGGATGGTAAGCCTAGATAAGAATCCGATAGTGCCTAGGTAATTATATTAAAACTACTCAAATTTGTTCCTTCGTCTCAGCTCTAGTATTAGGGCCAAAAACACACTGGACTTTTCCATACTAACCTTCTGTCCCGAAGCGGCACAATATGATGCAAGGATTTCTTTTAGACACTCGGCATTCTCAACATTGGCCTTCATTGGGAATAATGAATCATCTGGAAACAATAGATTAGTGATTGCTTGTGCTTCCCTACACACTTTCACACCCTCAAACTTCCCTTCTTCCTTAGCTTTATTCATCAAAGAAGTCAATCCTTAAGTACATAACAGAAACAAATAAGGCGACAATGGATCGCATTGTCTCAAGCCTCTAGAAGGTTTAAATGTTTATGTTCCTCTTGAGTTAAAACATACACGATATGACACTATACTAACACATTGCATCGCCAGCTTAACCCACTATTCATTAAATCCCAATTTCAGTAGAATACCATCCAGAAACAGCCATTCAACCTGGTCATATGCCTTATGCATGTCCAACTTCACCGCGCACCAACCATAAGCTACCAAGACATTGTCTGTGATCGGATGCCTAGGAACAAAAGCACTCTGCGGTGGGCTAATAATGTCTAGTAAAAAACATTTAACCTTGCTACTAGCATCTTTGAGATTACCTTATAAACAACAGTGCATACACTGATAGGCCGGAACCGAGTCACTTTCTCCGGACAATTTATTTTTGGAATCAAAACTATAGTAGTGTCATTCCACCCTGGTGGGATTGTACCTGAATTGACGGCCTTCAATACGCCATCAACAAGATCTTCTCCAAGCATGGGCCAAAATCTCTTATAAAATATCGTGTGCAAGCCATTCGGTTCTGGGGCCTTCAAATCGCCAATATCAAACAACACCTTCTTGACCTCTTCGGTCGAATAAGGAGCTAGAAAAGCATTATTCATGTCACATGTTACTACATTTTTAATTGATGCCAAGACATTCGGATCAGATCATCAACTTCAGCTGTGAATAAACCGGAAAATTACTGCATAATATGGTCATTAATTTCAGCTGTACCTTGATGCCACACTCCCGTGTCATCACGGAACTTCTTCATACAATTTAGTTTCTTTCTTGCCGTGGCAGCATTGTGGAAAAACTTCGTGTTTCTATCGCCATGTAACAACCATTCCACCTTGCCTCTTTGAAGCCAGAAGGTCTCTCTTGCTCAATAATATTCTCCAACAGATGAAGAATTTCCTTCTGCCCGGCAATTCATGCACACAAAGTTCCCTTGTAGCTCAGGCTACATGGAACCTCTTATCCTCAATCCTTCAGCCTTGCTTTGAGATCCGTACTCTCCAACTAACTTACAACAACAAGATTTCTCTTTTTTGTTTCTCTCAAATGAAACAACGTATGAACTTCAAACTTTGCAGATCGAACAAGCATTAGAACATCAATGTGTGAAAAACCTTTCAGATTTTTTCTTCTGATATAAATATACAAAATGAGATTTTGTTTGACTAAAAATATTGTTTTAAGTATTTAAAATGCATGAAAAATTTGAAAGTTTTTTCCCACATTGTAGTTAGAATGTATTATTGTTCTGCAAAAATTTGAAGTTTATATGTTGTGTCG